AGTTTGGTGTGAAGCGTCCGATCGTAGTGTCCATTTTCCTTGGTTCGGCGTGCCTTCTATGTGTTTTGCGTAGAAGGCAAGTGGTATTGTCTACAAGTCAACAAAGGAGAAGATAAGCAAAGGAAATAAACAGAGGAGAAATAGAGAGCGTGTGTATACCACGCCACTGTAGAAACCAGGAAGCAGAGGCTTCAAGAAGAGAAGTTCATGCTGATTCGCCATCTGCAAACAAGAAACGAATTGGAAACATTTTAATTCTAAGTCGTCTGGGTCGTCCACCTGGTAGACTTATAATTAAGTCGTCTGGAAAGTCTTCCAAGACTTCCAGTAGAACTTCCAGGTGGACGACCCTAAAATGACCGTAAAATGAGAGGAAAACAACATCCAACCTAACTAAACAACAAGTCGATTGAATTCCCCAATTTTTGAAACCCTAATTTGAAACCAAAATTACCCCAAATCGTTGAAAACACAAAACCAAACGGTAAAAGTTAAGGAAAACAACATCCATCCTAATAAAAACCCATAAATCTACAAGAGAAGCCTTCGATTTACCTTGGTCTTGTATCGAATCGAAATCGCCTCGAAATCACCTTTGAGAGAAACGGCGTTAGGGTTTTCTGAATTTCGCGAAAAGTGCGTAAAAAAAAAATCTTCTTATATATGTCCGGTCAAAAATCCGGTTAGGTTTAAAAGTAATTTGGTAAAATCCGGTTTGGACGACTTATTATTAAGTCGTCTGTTGATACTATACATCCGACTAAGTCGTCTGCCTTATTAAATATATTTACCAAACGACTTAATTATAAGTAGTCCAGACCCTAAACCCTAAACTAAATCGACTAAATTAACTACTAACCATGTTATAAAATAAAATTATACTTAAATATTGTTTACTATACACAGAAATAAACACACTTAGGTAAATTTTAAAGTTTTCAAAAAAACATTTACTCTTTCGAATTTCTAACCCTAAGAAACACATACAATACTACAACATATATTGGTGAAACCTAAACTAAAGAATATCATCACTCACTACTTTCACTCATCTATGCTGAAAACAACTGACTTTTTTTTTATATCTTAATTTATATCGCTTAAGACATATGTTAATTACAGAATCCCAATTTTTCATTTATCAAGATATTTATTACACAATTTTTAAATTATTTTTAAGAAAAATTGTCCCATACGACTTAGGTGATGATTGTTTTGTTAGTTTTTAGATTTTGGTTTTTGGTTTTTAGTTTTTAGTTTTTGGTTTTTAGATTTTGGTTTTTAGTTTTTGGTTTTTGATTTTGTAGTAGATTTTAGTTTTTCAAAAAAACATGAATGGTTGTTTTAGATTTTAGTTTTTGGTTTTTGGTTTTTGCTTTTAAAAATAATCAAATGAATTAATAATTTTTTTTGAATAAATAAAAAAATAAAGAACTATCATCAAAAGGCCACGTAAATGATTTAATAAAATATTTTTAAATAAAAATAATGTGAATCTCATAGATATAGAAATTTGATTTTGAATGCCTTTCATATAATACCACAAAATTTATCAGTAATATATTATATCTTTTTGTAATGACTAACTTCAGAATTTTAAATTTATTTTATTGATAATTTAAAATTTTTATATGCGTTTTTAGTTTACATCATTTTATTATTAGAGAAAAAAACAATTTAAATATTATAACAGTTTTTAGTACAATAAAGCTTTGACAAATTTAGTTTTTAGTACAGTTTTTAGAAAATAACATTTTAAATAATTAATTTAATTTTATTGACAAATTTAAAGAATGGTATTAATATCATTTATTTTAATATTGTGTAAGCAAATGCTTCTTACTAGTATACAGCTATTATCCTTTTTCTTATTATCTTATATTAATGCCTAAATATTGTAAAAAAAATTGTTTTTAAATTTTTTTTTTTTTTTGAAAAACCCATCGTATGTTTACAAAAGCTACAAAAACTTGGTTTTTGGCTTTTGTGTTCAAAAAACAGTTATTTGTAAAAACTAGTTTCCCTATATTTTAGGGAATCCATTTTATGAAAATCTTGATTGGGTGAAAAATGGTTTTTGGAAAAACTAAAACCAAAAACCAAACCAAAAACTACAAACAATCATCCTCTTAGTTTAAAGTCGTCTGGGCAGACGACTTGCAAGAGCTAGAAACGTAAAAAAAAGACTCTTTTTTTTGTTTGTTCACAAGGGGTTGGTTGTAATTTCAACAGCCTTTTAAGTTACTTTTGCATTTGATTCAAGTTTGTGTTTACTTTTTCATTTCAAATCAAGTTTTGAGTCATATTTGGCAATTTTCCCTTAAAATATATATATATATATATATTTTTTTTCCAAAACTAATTTAATACAATTTATTTATTTGTCTAATAATATTAGAAAATTATATTTTTACAAATTATTTTTTTTAAAAATAATTTTCTAAAAAAATAAGTTGAATTTTAAAGTATTTTTAAAAACAATATTTTAAATTTTTCAAATACAAATCAAAATCTTAAAATTAATTATTGTCATGATTTAACATATCCATAATTTTTAAAAAAATTAAATCTTTAAAAAATTAACTCAGTTTATATCATGATTTAACATTTAAAAATTAGTTATGGTTATGAGAATTCACGTGTCAATCCTATTTATCTTCAACTTTTTCTCTTGTTGTGTTTTTTTTTTTTGGTTATTACTTGATATAAATATTTATTTTAAGTTTATTCTCATATCGTTTGTTTGTTTTGACTTGAGAATTAGAAAATACTTAAGATTTAAAATAATTAAATAGATACATATTTAAGTTAAGATCTGTACTTTATACACACAAAGTATTTTATATTTATTATTTATTTTATACTTTTCTGCATATTATAAAATAATAAATATATATTAAATAACTAAGAAAACAGTTACTATTATGTAATTAATTGGTGTATGCATATAAATGTAACTATCACTCTTATTTATTCGCAATTAGGGTAAATAAATCAAAATAATTAATCTTATAAATTTTATATGATATATAATTAAACTTAAATGATATAAAAATATTAATATATGACAATTTTAATATGAATATTTATTAAATGAGGTTTCTACTCATATGATTTTATGATTATTTACATATTTGTGTAACAAAACTTTACACCAACGAAGTTTTTTTGTGTGAGATGTTTAGTAGTTTCAATAATTTATAATCATTTTAAAAAAACAATGGCATATTTGAAAATTAAAATATTAACTTTCAATATATGTTCAATGCAAATATAAAAATATAAGTATGTATTTTCATACGATGTATAGTTTAATTTAAACGATATGAAATATATATATAAACTAAAATTATTTTTTCATATAGTCTTATAATCATTATATTTTGGTACAGAAAAAAAAATAAAACTTTGATCCTAAAAGTTTATGTGAGACTTTTAACAGTTTTAGTAATTTATACTCATTTTGAAAAATTCGAAATACAACATACACAAAAAAAATTGTAGATTTTTATTATATGATTAATGTAATTGTGTAATTTATTTTAATAATAAATAAATAAACAAAATGATAAAAAGTAAACAGATTTTTCTCAAATATTTATTTTTTAAAATCATTAATTGTCATATATATATTAATCATATTAGGTAATTCCGTAGGTTTTATTTAAGGAAAGTATGTGAAACAATAAATATTTGATATATGCGACCAACTATATCCTACGAAATATTATATTGCTAGATAGTATAATTTTTAGACTATACATTATATTACATGCTATAAAATCCTTCTAAATTGAAATAGAAGACAAAGAGCTATGCCATATATGATTGAGGTTATTTTTAATTATTACAAAATTAACATTACAAATTTTTAAATGATTATCTTTTAATATATAGGTTTATCATATATATTGATTAAATTTTCAAAGATGAAGATTTTTATTCGTTTATTTAGTGTATAGAAATATGTACTGTCAAACTAAATGCACTTTAATTTTGAGATATTAAAATAACATCAATATATTTAAAACTTAAAAAAAAAAATAGAATTTACTGAAAAAAATCCAACTATATAATATTTTGTTTATTTTATAAAAAGTTACAGATATTAACTAAGCTGGAATTAAATATTTACAGAATATTTTTAAAAATATTATTATTTTACGGATTGTGTTATATCTCAAATTAGTCTAACTCAGAATTGAAAACAATTATTTTTATAAGGTTTATTAATTCATCGATATTAAATTATAGTATGTCAAAAGATTAATAATCACTCACTCATCTTATTTACAATCTTAAGATCCTAATTAATTTAGAGCTTGCCAAAAATTTAATAATCACTCACTCATCTCATTTACAATTTCAAGAATTCATCTACAATAGCATATCCATATTATTATTATGTTTTTTTTTTTGCTACACAGTCACTTTCACAAATTAAGAGATTTGAACACACCCACACACACATTCAAATAATGATATAAAAGGTATAAACTAAATCGAAATCGTCGAGTTAAAAGATTAAAACCACAAAAAGTTTTATTATCTTAAGCAGATATGCTTAGTTGAGCAACTTGCTGCATTTATCTTTGACCCACTTGAAGCTCTTTCTGAAAGAGCCTTTAAGCTTACCTTCAACAGTGTAAGCTCTGTAACTCACAACTCTCTTCTTCCTCTTTATATCTGGATCCACAAATCCCCATGAAGAAGACGACGATTTTCCTTTCTTCAGATTCGGGTTATCTTCCGGTATCCGGGTCGGGTGATCCGTGTAGGAAGTGCTGTAAGACCTGAGATCTTGCATACCATTACCACCGAGTGAACCTGGACCGTCCGGTCTCCGGTCTGATGTTCTTCCATCACCGTATGATCTGGATCTGAAGTCTTCCATATTGGTCTTACACGAAGAAGTTAGAGAAGAGGATGTGAAGGTGGAGATCAAAGGTTTTGTAACAAAAGTCGATGGCTGGCTTTTTTGTCTTGTTTCTTTCTTTTACGAGAAGGAAAGAATCTTTTGTTTAATTTACATATATATTTTTTTCTTCTATTAGTTTCTTCATATCTCTGATTGAATACTACTACTATTGTCTTCCAATATTTATAGTAAAAATATCTGCAAAATTTGCTCACAAAATAAAAAAAAATATCTGCAAAATAAATAAAATGAATTAATAACAGAAATTTATAGCATCAAAAATTTACATATGTAAATAATACTCAACTAAATACCTAAAAATATTTAATAAATATAAATCAAGACTACCAAGTCAACATGAGGCGCTGAGTCAGATGCAGCTGTCGCCGAGTCGGTGGAACGTACAAATTAATTTCTTTCTAACTGAATTTCTCTGTTTGACCAATAACTCCACGTGACCTTCACGTGATCCCTTTTGAACATTTTTTTTTGCCTTTGAATACAATTTTATCATTGTTTGTGTGTTAAATTTCTTTGATACAAATTGACTACTTGTAATAGCATTGATTATTTGATGACTCGATGTAAGTTTGTTAAGGTTTAATCAGACAAGTTATTTTAGTTAAAAAATAACTAAGTTATTTTATTTCTATCTTTTAGACGTTTTATTAGGTCTGACATCACAGAGTTCCACTAACCGTATGATAAACAAATGTCAACCGATTTTAAGCGATATAAATAAGTAAAAAAAGTCAAATCCAAATTGAGACGCCGTCAACTTGATCAACGTTAACTTGTGTTAGGTTGTTAAATACGAGTACTATATAGCTTTAAAAAAGTTAGTTACAAAAGTTGAAAACTTAATTACTTTTCCACGATTTATATGAAAGCTCGAAACAACTAATTTGAGTTGAATGTATTTTTCTAATAACTTGTCCACTCTTAATTTAAGTACAAAGAAAAGACGAAGTTGGTACCTATTAAAAAGGCCTTTCATATTGAAATCTGCATTACCACATATTTGTGTTTGCTAATTTTTGGATTGAATGTATTTTTCTGTGAGTAGTACCAACTACTACTAGCTAGCATTCAAATAGTATCTAACTAACGTTAAACGTAATTTCCACATTTTTCAACGTTTGAAACCATGAACGATAAAATTAGCTTATTAGTTGCAAATAACCAGTTAGAAATTCATAGTTTGAAAATTTGGTCAATAATGTTTTATAGTCATTGACTTGACCGCTTTTTGAAAATTCGACTAACAATTTCTTCGTCCAACCGTCAATGCAAATATTTTACAGTGGCAGATCTAGAAATTCATTTTAGTGGGGGTTATATTGTAATAAATAATATCAAATAACAATATTTTAATTTAAAATTTATAGTTTTACAAAATATATAACTTTTTTTAAAACTCAACTCTATGATGACATGATTTTTTTTTTGAAAAGATCTAACCAAAAAATTAAATCACAAACTCTAACTTTTTAAAGGTTTAGAAAAAAACTTATGCATAAAATCTTAGCGAGTATTTGTTGGGGTCAAAATAGGTTACGACGGAATCAATGACTAAAACTTTCCGCAAAGTTAAGAATAAGTTTTACAATTACGAAAAAGCGTCGAGAAGAATTCTAAGGATTTTCCGAACAAAGGAATTCTGTAAACTTAACAATCGTCGTCTTGGAAATCATCAGAAAATCGAATAAAACATTCCCCGATTGTCCGACTGGCCAATTTAGCAAAAACGGCCATAACGTCCAACTCCCCAAAACGGCAAAGCTGTCTCGGACCGTCCAGCTCACCGAGCCGGCGAGCTGACCAAACCAAACCAGCTCGCTGAACCGTGCAGTCCAGCTCACCCAGCCGGCGAATTGGTCGTCTCGAACCACTCGCCGGCTGGGCAAGCTGAATCGTGCAGTCCAAGCTCGCCCAGCCGGCGAGCTGGTCGTCGCAAACCAATTCGGTGTCTTGGCGAGCTAAACCGTCCCATTCAGGTCGCCAGACCGGCGAGCTGACCGTCTCGAGCCTTACCCTCCACATTGCCCGGACACAAGGCATACCCTCCGCATTGCCCAGACCAGCGAGCTGAACCGTGCAGTCCTAAACAAGCTCGCCGACTGGGCAAGCTGAACCGTGCAGTCCAGCTTGCCCAGCCGGCGAGCTGGTCGTCCCAAACCAGCTCGCCGGTTGGGCAAGCTGAACCGTGCCCTCCAGCTCGCCCAGACGGCGAGTTGGTCAACCCGAACCAGTTCGCCGGCTGGGCAAGCTGAACCGTGCCCTCCAGCTCGCCCAGACGGCGAGTTGGTCAACCCGAACCAGTTCGCCATCTTGGCGAGCTGAACCGTCTTGTTCAGGTCGCCGGACCGGCGAGCTGACCGTCTCGAGCCTTACCCTCCGCATTGCCCGGACACATGGCATACGTCCCTCGAACCGATCGTACTCTGAATCATGATCGGAACATCTCTCGTTTTGTCTCGATTCGTCTTATCGTTGGAGTTTTACGATAAAAACCGTAAAAGACTTGTTTTCTCGTAAATACTCGAGTAAATGGTATAAAACCGCAACGGTTAAACGAAACACCAGAGATTGCTAAATTATACAATTAACTCGAGATGTTTTATTAAAACGCCATCGTATCACGGAACGATCTCGTCTAAAGTCATAAAACATCAAAGGCGCAAAACGGCCCGAAAGGTCCTAAAACGCGATAAAGGCCCATACACAACTTTAAACGAATTCCAGCCCGGAGATATAATGACGGTTTATCCATTTATGCACAGGAAGAAGATAAATGTCAAGTTCAGAGAAAAATAGAAGTTTTCCAAGATAAAAATGGAGAATTGAGAAAAATGGAAGATTTTCGAAAAACACAAATCAAGGCAGAAAAGGAAAAGCTAAACCGCCTAGGAGAGGAGTATATAAGCACAAGGTTGAGGACAAGAAGAAATGATGAATTTTCAGAGCTCTCATCACACAGAAAAACTTAGTATTTAGGCAACTTTCCGTTTTTGTTATCAAGCTGCGTCTCAACTAGGGTTTTAGTCTCAGGCTGCTAGAACTACAAAACTCGCCGTCAGCTCTTGTAACCAAGGATTTACCTCGTTGTACCGCTCTTACACTGATTCAGAGTAAGAAACCTCTTTGCTCTCTATTTCGATTTTCATATTGTTTTTACTGTCATGCTCGTGTTTTGATTGTTTGGCGTGTGGTTTAGCAGATATCCGGGACCTCTGGGAAATTAGGTTTTTCCCTTAGTTCCTTAATTCACGGTGATCGACGGTGTGAATTTTGGTTCCCACAGTTTGGCGTCAGAAGGAGGGGGGCGGGGGTTACGGATCTATCTGACTCTGAGACCACATCACGCTCGATCGGATACGATGATAGAAGAAAAACCGACTCAAATCAATGAAAACATTGAAACTCAAACTCCGCTAGCAAACGCGACCACAGTTAACGCTAACGCCAACACTACATCGCTGCAGGAGGTACTCTCCGCCTATCAAAAGAGGATGGACGAGCATGATAAGCTAATCGGATCTCTCACAAAACAGTTCGAAACCTTAACCGCGAAGACCAAATCTATCCGCCCCCGCGGAACTACAAGAATCCGCGGAAGAAGACTCGATTTCGCGACTCCTATAGATCGTCCTAGAACCGAGCAGGGTAATCTACCAGAGCAAACCTCCGAAAAAGATAACCCTGACGCGACACAAGAGAAATCGGAAAAATCTTTTGGGAACCAAAATTTACCCCTGTTGATATTACGTAAATTTAGGAATTTAGAGTAAACCCTAATTACCCAGAGGACCCGACTATCTGCGTAACCGCACACAAGCAATTAAGAACACAATATGAATAAGTAAAATATGATAAAAAACGAGATTGAGAGGAATAAGGAGTCTTATTCCGAATTTGCGTAAGAACGGTACAACAAGAGTAAGCCTTAGCTGCATGAGCCGTCAGCAAGATTCCTAGTTTTAGTAATCTACGACTAAAACCCTAGATGAGACGCAGCTCGATAACAAAAACGGAAAGTTGCCTAAATGCTAAGTTTTGGTGGTGAAAGCTCTGAAAATCAGTCCTTCTTTGCTTTGTCCTTGGACTTCTGCTTATATACTCCCTCCTTAGGCGGTTTAGTCATTCCTTTTCGCCCAGATTCGAGTTTATCGGGAATCTTCCATTTATCTCGATCTTTCCATTTTCCTTGCGGAAATCTTCTATTAATCTTCATACTTGACATTTATCTTCAAACTTGACATTTATCTTCTTTCTGCGAGTAAATCGTCACACCGTCATTGCATCTTTGGGCTGGATTTCATTTAAAGTCGCAAGTGGGCTTTTATCGCGCTTTTGGGCTGTCCGAGCCGTTTTCCGATAAAAACTGTTTTACGATTTTAGACGAGATCGTTTCCTGATACAATACCGTTTTTATAAGGTATCTCGAGTTAATCGTATAGTTTGACAATGTACGATGTTCCATCTAATCGTTGTCATTTTATACAATCTTCCCGAACTTTACGAGAAAAGAAGACTTTTACGATTTTTATCGTAAAACTTGAACGGTGAGACGGATCGAGACGAAATGAGAGACGTTTCGACCACGGTTCAGAGCATGATCCAATGGAAGGACGTATGCTTTACGTCATGGATGTGGGAGATCGAGGCTCGGGACGGCCAGCTCGACGTACGGTGAACCGAACCGGGTTGGTTCAGCTCAACTTCTCGTGTTTTATAAAACGTATTTTTATTCGGAAGGTCCTTTGTTCGGAAAGTCCTTAGAATTTTATAAAATAACTTCTCGTGTTTTTAAAACGTATTTTTATTTTTGCGGAAAGTTTTGGTCATTGATTTTCTTGTACCGATTTTGACCTCAACAGTTAGACCCCAGCTCATTAGAATCGTGGAGTTTTTGCGAGCGGTTTGAACTTTTTCGGCAAGTTTAGTAGAATCAGGCGGAACTTAATGGCCAAAAAGTCCAAAGGTGAATAGTAAAACCTTTTCTTATAAGTATGTGGAGTAAGTTTTCAAATTCTTTACTCACTTCCTTCCATAACTTTTCTAAGGTTCAAGAAGTTTTCTCTCTTCCTTTCCCTTTGAATCTCTTTCTCTTTTGATTACTCAACATGTCTTCCAAGTGGAAAGCTTCGGATTGTCCTCACGCATCAATATTTGAACCGAGTGATCTCGATACTTCCGACGGCTGTGC